TCTTTTTACATGGGTGGGAAATGCATACCATATCAAGAAAAGCGGGTTTATGTCGCTTTACCGATAATCATTTATTACGGGTGATAGGTTGTAAAACCATAACCCTTAGCACGTACACTTGGCGATCTACGCGTCGGAGAAGTGGATGGAGGTTGTAAAATCATAACCCTGAGCGCACACACGTGTCGGGGAAGTGGACGGGGTTGAACAAGCAGGAATATCCATTTCAGCTTCACACTTGACTCTCCCTTACAGTTCCGTATGGATTCGGGCAGGCGAGTGCTCCCACGGCCCCGCTCCCGCCCACACAACCGACCCTGATGCCGACTCGGCCCGCTCCGTCACCGCCCACCCAGCCCCACGCCCCTCCGAGGCCCCAGCCGCCGCTGGCAACGCCCCCTGAGTACACGACGGTAGGACAGTTTCCGCAGGACCCTGTGCTGGTGTGTGTTGACGTGCCTCGTATCTAGAACGTAGGGGGGGGGGTATTATAAATTAAATTGTAAAAAACTGGAATACAGTATTTATCCCTTTGAAATTTTTCCTTTAATGACTTGAGAATTCCCAAATTGTCAGAACGGCAGGGCGAGGTCCCCACCGCTGAAGGAGGGAGAGGCGCCCCCCTCGTGGCGTCGTGGCTGAGGACTCAAGGTCTACTTCATCCAGCCGGAGGGACACGTCGTCTCGCCCCTCAAGCCGCTCGAGCTCACCGTCTTCAAGAAGATCGGTGAGTCGCGAGGTCTGCCTCTTTGGTCCCTGGCCTCGCTCTTGGATTGGTTGTATATTCTCTCTCTCTCTGTCTCTGTCTCTGTCTCTCTCTCTCTGTCTCTCTCTCTCTCTCTCTCTCTCTCTCTCTCTCTCTCTCTCTCTCTCTCTCTCTCTCTCTCTCTCTCTCTCTCTCTCTCTCTCTCTCTCTCTCTCTCTCTCTCTCTCTCCTCCCTCCCCTCCCTCTCCCTCTCCCTCTCCCTCTCCCCTCCCTCCCTCCCTCCCTCCCTCCCTCTCCTCTCTCTCTCTCTCTCTCTCTCTCTCTCTCTCTCTCTCTCTCTCTCTCTCTCTCTCTCTCTCTCTCTCTCTCTCTCTCTCTCTCTCCTTTTCATGACCCCCTTCATCTTCATCTCCATTTCTCCTTTCCTTTAACTCTTAATCGCTTCCACTCCACCTCCCTCTTTCCCTCCTTCTCTCCCTCCCTCCCTCCCCCTCCCCTCCCCTTCCCCTCCCCCTCCCTCTCCGTCCTTCTCCCTTTCCCTCTCCTTCTCCCTACCCCTCCACTCCCTCTCTTTCTCCCCTACCCCTCCACTCCCTCTCTTTCTCCCTATCCCTCCCTCCCACCCTCTCCCTCTCCCTCTCTCGTTTTATTTCAAACATTGCCTTGAACCTCCTTTAAGACAGGAATTCTCTCATCCCTCTCGTCCCTTTCACCCCTCTCTCCCTCCCTCTCCCTCTCTCTCTTCTCTCTCTCTCTCTCTCTCTCTCTCTCTCTCTCTCTCTCTCTCTCTCTCTCTCTCTCTCTCTCTCTCTCTCTCTCTCTCTCTCTCTCTCTCTCTCCCCCTCTCTCCCTCTCTCCCTCTCGTCCCTCTCGTCCCTCTCCCTCTCACCCCTCTCACCCCTCTCTCGTCCCTCTCACCCCTCTCTCATCCCTCTCGTCCCTCTCATCCCTCTCATCCCTCTCTCATCCCTCCCACCTCTTCCCCAGGAGGAGGAAGCCCGCCGACGACCGCAGATGAGAGCCTCGTCGGGATGCTGGAAGTTCCTGGCGTCTGGAGGCTGAAGCTGCGGGCGAGACGCTGCTTCTGCCTGCACACGTACCCTGACTCCTACGTGTTTATGGACGAGTCGACCAACCCGCGTGAGTCGGTTGCTCGAGTTCTGGGGGAAGGGAAATCAAGTTTGGTTTTTATTATTGTGATTTTTGTGGTGTTGGTGCTGGTATTAGTATTGTCATTGGTATTATTGTTGTTTTTATTGTTATTGTTGTTTTTATTATTATTATTGTCTTTATTATTGTTGTTATTATTGTTATTTTGTTATTATTATTAATATTAGGGAAGATTAGTATAAGTTCATATTCAAAACACTTGTTTTGTTGTTATTATTAATTACAGTTATTGTTATTATTATCATTGTTCTTGTTATTTTATTGATTTTTTGTTGTTATTGTTATTATTTCTATTATATTATTTTATCATCATCATCATCATCATCATCATCATCATTCTTCTTATTATTGTTATTATTATTATCTCAGTGACTACGAATTTGTGTACCGTTCCCTGCAGTTTTTTTTAGTGAATTTTGTTACATACAGATGGCACCACCTGTGCTCAGCCACCAAGGAGTCCCTAGTGATCGCACCTGATTTCGCCTTCCTTGAAATAGCCGGAAAATTAATCTAATCTATTGCTCTATTGGTGTTGATAATGTTATTTTTATTGATATTATGGGTCTTAAATTGTTGTTGGAATATTCATAACATTGAGGGCAATAAGATAAGATAAAAGCTTTCCAATTATTATTATTATTGTCGTTGTTTTTAGTATTCCAATTTTGTATTATTTTTCTTGCTTTTCATGCTATCATTATCATCATCATCGTCATCATCATCATTATCTTATCACTTTTGTTGTCGAGTGTAAGCAGTAATATTTCAGTTAGTGCAATTTTAATAAATGTTAGTAGTAGCAATCGTATTCTTTTAATACACATTCGGGCTTATGATCCCAAACATTTATCAAATCTTACACAAACAATAAAGACTATTCATAACAATTATTAAGGTTTATAATTATCATAACTATTCATAATGATTATACATACATAGACTATTCATAACAATTATTAAGGTTTATAATTATCATAACTATTCATAATGATTATTACATAACAACATAGACTATTCATAACTATTATTAAGGTTTCCAGGTTAACTTGTTTCGATTAGTGATTAAAAGAGAAGTTCGATTTAAAACTAGTGATGAAGCAGCAGATGAATCACTCGCACAGTCCTCAAATAATACAAGCACCCGACGACACTTGTCCCCAACAGAAGATGATGGTTGTCCCCCAACAGAGCGAGTGGTCGTGTTGCAGCTGCCGGAGGACGTGTCGACGACCATGCTGGCGGACCTGCTGGCGCTCCTGCGGGAGATGACTGACCTGCGGGAGGAGCAGGAGGGCGGTCGACAAAAATCACCCACCGGCGTTAGCACGGGTAAGCGCTGACTGTCATATGTATAAGCACACGCACGTACACGTACACGTCACGTACACGCACGCACACGCAACACGCACACGTTCACGCACACACGCACACGCACACGACACGCACTCACGCACACGCACACGCACACACACCACGCACACACGCACACACACGCTCACTCACACACACACGCACACACTCACACACACACACTCACACACACACACACACACACACACACACACACACACACACACACACTTTTAAAATGCTGTCACTGCTCTAAAAATAATACTGCTTGCAACTACTATTACAAATATCGATTTAAATTCCGTGTTGTCCATAACATACAGAACACGTGCTGTACAAATATTGATTTAAATTCCAAACGTACATAACACGTGCTGCAAAAGAATGACAATACAGTGACCTTTTTCCTTCGCAGTGTTACACGGACCTACCAAGAAGATCAACACGGCAGTGAAAGGGACTGCCCCGGGAGCGCACAAGAGCACCAAGTGGCTGAGAAAGGGCACCGGGTCCTTAGGTATGTGCTCGCCAGTGCACTTAAATTTTGAACGTTTGTCGATCTTTGCCGGAGCGCCAATGGTAGCGGAGGTTTTGGGGGTTATATTATAGTAGTTACCAATTTCTTTATTTTTTTGAATAAGTATTAATATGTCACAGGTAATAAGTATATTAGAAAGGGGCTCTGTCGTTCAGTCGTTTGTGCTTCTGAATGTTGGATTTAGAAGACGTTTGGGAATTAGTGCGATTGGATTAGGCTGTGTGGAGTTTGGTTCGACTGTTGGGTTGCGGTTATTTGGAATTTATATGAAATGTGAGAGCAGCTTGTTTACTAGCGTGGGATTGAAAGTAAGTTATATTGCCAACGAATTAACCATTGGTTAGTTTGAAAAGTTGTATTGGTTTATTTTAGCGTCAACTTAGGTTTGATATAACAGCAGTTGTTAGTGAAAGCTTATTGCCAACTTAGTTTATTTTAGACATATTAACCAATTGAAAGTAAGTTATATTAGTGAAAGTAAGTATAGCTTGCCAACTAACCATTGCCAACTTAGTTTATTTTAGACATATTTGAAAGTAAGTTGTATTGCCAACTTAGTTTATTTTTAGACATATTAACCAATTGAAAGTAAGTTATATTGCCAACTCAGTTTATGTTAGACATATTAACCAATTGAAAGTAAGTTATATTGCCAACTCATTATTAGACATATTAACCAATTGAAAGTAAGTTATATTGCCAACTTAGTTTTATTTTAGACATATTAACCAAGGGTAATTACCAAAGGGTTATGTTGTATTTACGTAGATCAAATGGTAGTAGATAGGCCAAGTTAAGGTAAGGCAAAGTAAGTAAAAAAAAAAAAGTGATGATAAGGTTAACCACAATATATTTGGACTTTGTGTGATTGGATTTTAATAGGCAGTGTTTAATGATGTGTGCAGTGTTTGTTTATAGCGTGTTTAGATTAGGTGAAGTATAGTTATTTTTTACTGACTTTTTGGTCATGGAAAGAACTATTATTATGGACAATACTCTTGGAGCTGTTACCAGAGTTTTATTTATGTTATTTTAGATTTATTTATTTATTATTGATATTATTATTGTTATTATTATTTTATTATCATTATTGTTATTATTATTATTTATTATTTATTATTATTATTATTATTATTATTATTATATCAATATCAATATAATATTAATATTATATCATTATTATTATCAATATTATTATCATTATTATTATCAATATTATTATCATTATTATCATTATTATTTTTAAGCTACAATTCTTTCTGAACCTAATACGTGTCCTTTTACAGTGCGCATGGGAGGAAGCCTCGTGTCGAAGGGTATGCACCTCATAGCAGACCAGGTGGCGCCGGGACACCACAGGAGGTAGGATGGGGATAAGGGGAGGAGGGAGGGGAGGGAGGGGAAGGGGAAGGGAGGAGGGGGAAGGGAGGGGGAAGGGAAGGAGGAGGAGGAGGGAGGGAGGAAGGAAGGAAGGAAGGAGGGCAGGAGAAGGAAGGAAGGAATGGAGAATATAAAGATAGGAAGAATGGTGAAAATGGTGGGAGAAAGGAAGTAGGAGTAAAAGGAAGGAACAAGAAGGATGGTTAGAAGAAAAAGGAGAGAAAGGCAGAAAGAAGAGAGAGAGAAAGATCAAACGAAAGATCCCCCCCACCAGGTATACAGCTCAAGGACTACATATATATTTGTTTTATGTATATTTGTATATTATATTATTATATATTTAGTCAGTAAAAATCATATTTCTGGATAGGTTTCATTGTCAATTGTGAGTCCTCAGATGGCTCAATTCGGGCCAGTTCGTTTGGTTTCAAAGGATCCTTGTCTGGCTTTGATTCTCCGAAACGTTCTGTCTTTTGCAATATCCTCCCTGTTGTTGGGATCGATGTTAGACTTTTTCATGTTGACTTTGAAGACATCTTTGTATCGCTTCTTCTGGCTGTACTGGTTCCGCTTGTCTTCTTTGAGTTGAGAGTAGAAGACTTGCTTTGGGAGACGATCGTTCATTCTTACAACGTGACCATCTTAGCTGGGTCTTTATGACATAGGCTTCATTGCTAGTTGAGTTGGCTTCTTGCAGGACGCTCACGTTGGTTCTTCGGACCTCCCAGCTGATCATGCTTTTTTGATGATGACGGAACATGTCTCTGAGGCTTACAAGAGTGCTGAGATTATGATTGCTTTGTAGAGCATCATTTTCGTGTCGGTTTTGATACCTCAGTCTTGGGAAACGTTTGTAGGGGACCATAGGTGTTGCCAGTGCATTTCAGGTGGTTGTTTCAGCGTCAAGATCAACGCCAGCTGACGTTCTCCAACGTTGTTCCACCGAGTTGGACTGCAGGTGGATTGAGAGGTTCTACGCTCGATGGTGGTTGATAGACAGTTTGTGTTTTCCTAACGTTGATGTTCAGTCCCAACTTCGAATAGGCACGATGAAAATTACATAGGGTCTGTTGGAGATGGTCTTCATCAAGGGCTACGTCATAGTTGTCTGCATACTGGAGCTCAAGGAGACTACAAGTCGATGTTTTTACTTTATAGGCGAGCAAGGTTGAAAAGCTTGCCACCAATCCTTTAGATGATGTTGATACCAAGTGGTAGATCGTCCTTGATAATATGAAGGATAAGTAATCGATGGGGCCGTTGCTGCAATAAATTACCACCGCTTTTGTAAACTTCACTGGGATTCCGGTCATGCCTGCTTCTTTGTTGTTCTTGAGCATTTTGATGGAATCTTTGAATTTCATAAGTATAGGAGGTTGAATCACATGGTTCTCGGGTGATTGCCTCAGTATTTTCTCAATAATTCTTCTGTCTACAGTAACTTCTTGGTGGGAGAAATGTTCCTCCCAGCTAGCTCCAATTTCCGAGCAGCTTTTCAGGTTGGTTATCCCGTCTTTACTCTTGAGGGAGGAGCTCCGTGTTCTTGTGACCCAAAGATAGCTTTGGTTGAGTTGAAAATAAAACTCTGATATCGTTGGTTTCGGCTAGCTGCTGGATCTCACGGGCTTTATTTCTCCACAACTTATTTTTGAGCTGATGGGTTGTCTGTTGTACTGCGGCCTTCATTCTCGGTGCTTCCTTCGTTTAGCTGTGGACTGCGAATCGTTTTTTTGAGAAGGTTGCCTCTATAGAGATGTTGATGACCTTCGTCCACCTGGAGGCACCCAGAGTGATTCTGGCAGTTTCATTCTGGATTTGCTGAAGTCCATCTCTGAGTCTGCAGTAGGCCTGACAGAGGACAATACTCATAGGCCTTCCATATACGAGTAACATTCCAATCATCGTTGTAAACTACCGATCGGAATGGCTTGTTTTTTTAATAGAAGATTAACGGATCCATGTTGTTGATAAAATGCTGCAGCGGTAAAGCATTTGCTCAGCATCAGGAGCGGCATGTGTGAACAGTAGAATTTCTTCCCAAGACTTATGGTCGTATGCTTAAATAAACTGTGTAACGTGCATCAGTTCTTAGCACAATGATAGAATCTTTCACGATTGCTTGAAGTCTTAACGGAATTTTTGGACTGTCAGTTTAAAAAATTACAATGTTCTTATCCTCTTGTGTGATTTTGGTATGCCAGTTGTTTATCTTGCGGTATTATTCCTTAGTAGAGGAATTTGTGCTTCAAAGAGTGCATTTCACAATTTCTTTCAGCATAAGGTCGTTACTTGTAGGAAGTATGTCTCCAGTGCCGTGTGGGTCGGGGGGGGGGGGGGGGGGATTTCTCATGTGATCCAGTGAGGACGAGAGAGTGAGTGAGTGAGTGAGTGAGAGTGAAAGAAAGGCTGAGTAAGTGATTGAGTGAAATGGCAGTGAATAACAGAGTTAGTGAGAGAGTGAGAGTGTACAAAAGGCTGAGTGAATGAGTGAGTGAGAGTGTATAAGAGGAATTAGTGAATGAGTGAATAAAAGGTTGAGCAAGTAAGTGAGAGTGAATAAGAGGCTGGGTGAGTGCCTGAGGCTGAGAATGAGAGAAGAGAAAAGCGAGCGGAGATAAAGAATATCGATTCTTTTTTTATTATTCTTGCGTCGATTCAACATTATCGTCTATATAAGCTACATAATTCAATTTACTACAAATGATTGTTATCTAAATGTATATTTTTGTGACCCTTTCCATGCCTGCCTTTGGATACTTCGGCTGAAACAAGGAAACTTATGTGAGTGAATTATCTCTGGATTTCTAGTTTGTCTGTCTAAATGTTGCTCGTTATTGTTGCACGCAAACAGAGTATATATAACACGAGCGGATTTAGGGAAACTAAGGGCGTTGCATTCCCTTTATCAAGTTCCTAGATCCGCCTGTGTGTATGTGTTTGTGTGGACGTGTACACAAAATCGAAATTTTATTATTTCGATTTTGCGTGCATGTCCGTGTGGACGTACGTGTGCGTTTGTTTGATGTCCTTGCAATAGACGGATGCTCCAGAGATTATAACAATGTTATCCATTTTCCAAATTCCTGATACAGTGGCATTAACTCTGAGAATCAGGAGGAGTAATCCACCATTACTTCGCAGGAGGAATCTGCCGTGCACTCGTATCTGGTCGACTCTCTAGCGACCTTCCGGAAGAAGCTGGAGACGAACGAGGTCACGTACGTGTGACGCGGCGCAGCGCCAGAGGTCAGGCGAGACGGTCGGACGCAGCGCAGACGGAGAGGGCGCTGCGACGTGGGCTTCTCTTGCCGTCGGGCTTAGCGGAGGGAGAGGGGCGCCCCGAGGTCAAGCTGTGGCGTAGGAGGATCGGAAGGATTGTGCCATCAAGTCAACTATTTATTATATGCACTTTTAACCAGACTTAGGGTATAGACAGTAAATCAGAACTTGGAATGTATTCATTTAATATGTATATCATGGGTCGTGTTTGATTATAATCAAATATATTTAATATTTGCGCCTTGTTATTGTATATATATATATATATATATATATATATATATATATATATATATATATATATATATATATATATATATATATATATATATATATATATAATGTCTGTATAAACACATGTAAACACATATTAATGAAACTGTGGAGTAAGACATCTCTATCTGATATGCACGTTGAATATTACTACTGTGATAATTTTCCTAGTAATGTTTTCAGTATAATGTTTATTGATAATACATTTTGGTGTTATTTGGCAGGTCTTACAAGAACGCTCATGTTTGTTAATTCGTGATTTGATTACTGAAAAAAATCCTGTGTGCCTTTGTGTAGTTCAAAGTGCATAATACCTCATCTTGTGTAGCTTACTAGCTTCCATTTAATGACGCATATTATCTGAAGGAAAAAATGAACATATTTTTAAATACATGCTTTTGAAGAGCAAGTGTTGGACTTCACTAGGTTTAGATGTTGCTTATGAAATGTCATGAATTTGACAGAGAAGAACTTCTATGGAAATGCCGAGTGGAATGTGCCTTGCCCTTTGACCCTTAGGGAAAGATTCACCGCCGAAGGAGCCACGTCTCCACGCCCCATGATATAGAAAATGATGCTTTCTCTAGGTTCGACACACATGATATAGTGTGTAAAGAAAAACGAATGTAATGGACTGTTTTAGAAGGATGCATGTGCAGTGTCAGTCTTTTCAAAAATATTCCAGTGAAGTTATTTTTAAGGGGCATTTTACAGTTCAAGGAATGTGAAATCCAACTACTCGAGTTTGTTGAAATATTTTGCATGTGTTTTTTCCCTAATGATTATTTAAGTATTAAAAACAATTATGCTATACCACGAAATATTCCACATGTACATTATACTTTTCAATAGTTGAAAATAGTTAAAGGAGAAAATGCATGTCAACTCGCAGTTTGAATAAACATTGAATTGAAGCAACTTAAATCACAATACAGTACGAAAACTGGCATTTTACAATAAATCTAGTCTTGTAAGTTTATCGTTTCTTTATCCTTAGAGTTCTTGGCGTGACACACGCACGGCACACAATAAATCAGTTTTGTGTGGCTTGCAAAGTATCAGTTTCCTAAAAGATAGTGCTAGTCCTGATAATAACTAATGCTACTTTACACTAGTCCGCCGATGGAGTGGAAATGCGCACGCGCACACACACACACACACACACACACACACACACACACACACACACACACACACACACACACACACACACACACACACTCTCTCTCTCTCTCTCGCACACACACACACACTTACACACGCACTCCCTCGCGCGCACACACACACACACACAGACATAC